ACGTTAGAGCTTCGAGGCTTATTCCGGCAGTTGATTACTCAGAAGGAATGCAATCTTATGCTCTCTTAGTGTAATGGGTAAAAGAGATTGGGTTTTAGGTTAGAGTGGTCGGGGCATTGGGTTTAAAATGGGGAATGGGTCTTTTTTTAAAATTCGGGTTAATTTGGGTCAATTTTGGGGATTCTGTCCATTTGAGGGGTAGTTTTGGTGAAATTAGTAACGGTGAGGGTAAATTTAACTTCATTTTAACGGCGAGGGTAAAGTCAAATAATAAACCAAAGTTAAGGGGTATTTTTGACCCTTTTCCCTTGTTTCTATTTAGGGAAATCACATACTCTCGAATTAATACCCAACGTCTGGTAGTCAGATCAAAAAAAAGTTTTTTTTTTATATATTATATTGTGTATAACTTATACGATATTTAGTAGATATGTGAAAAATAAGTTATTCATATATAAAATAATATGATGGTTGGTTGATAATTTGAAAAATCGCACAAGTAATATATGTATAAGTTATGAGAGATTCTATATATTATTTTATACAAAATAAAACTTAAAAAATAAAATGACTAATACTCCCTCCGTCCACAATTGTTTGGCAGGCACACTAAAAATAGATGTCCAAGATTAATTGTCAATTTAAACAATCAAGAAATAACTAGTCACTTTTTTCCAATTCTGCCCTTAATGATTGTGTAGTTCAATTGAAAAGTTATGTGGACTTTTGGTATTCTTGATATAGTAGGGTTATATTAGTCAAATCACACCTTGTATTAAATTTTCCTTGAAGGATGTGCATGACCTTACTCTGACAAACAATTGTGGACGGAGGGAGTACATGAATAACTAATCTCTATATAAAATAATACATATATTTCCTCATAAGTAATCTCTACGTTATTATTAATTGCCCAACTCTAACCATTTAACAGGCAACAACGACGCCTTATTATTTTTGGGAGTTTTATTATTCGTCTGAGTTATTTATGTTGGTTTCAGGTTTATCATTAATGAAATTTTGGATAAATGGTTTTCAAATTTAGATAGGAGTAATTATTTTTAAAGAATAACTAAAAAGAACAAGAAATAGGTTCACATGACAAAAAGTAAAAAAGGGATTCAGGTGCATCAAACTCCAGCTTCCTCTGTTTTTTTAAAAAAAGGATCTAGTTTGATTTAGCACAAATTTAAGAAAATAAAAAACTTTTCAATTTTGTGATTCTAATGTATTAAAATGTTTTTTAATCTTATGATCTTAAATATGACACGTGAGAAGTTGATGTTAAAAAGTTAGCAAAAAATAAGAGATCTCTCTTTTTGAAGCAAACTAAAAAAAAGAAAAAAGAATAGATTATTCTTTTTTAAACTAAAAGTATTATATATGGAGTTCGAGAAGAGATCAAATTTATTCCTTCATTTTTGTAAGAAGTTGTTTTTATAACTCTCACCACGATCTTACGATTACATATAATAACTTTATCAGTTAACTCAAAATTTCTTTTTATATCTAAAACAAATTAATTGGTGTGACTATAAATTTCCGTATTTTTAATTCTAGAAAGTTGACCTTTTTATTTTTGGGAGGAAAAGAAAAGAAACCGATAACTTGCTAGGTCGTGGTTGGGTTCATCATCATCAATATCTGCTTCCTGGAAGTTGCTATTTTTTCATTGAATATTCTAACCCTTTTTCTTTTCCTATTATTATACACTTGTATATATTCCAAGAGAAACCATTTCTTAGCTTCCAACCTCAATACTACTTCTTCTTCTATTCTACTACTACCTACTACTTCAACAGCATTTTCTTCTATATATCAGGTACCATTCTCAGTTCCTATTTTTTGTTTCAGTTTCTTTTCTTTTTTTTTTTGTTAGAATTTCTGTGATTCTTGATTTCTTCAATCAAACATCTCAGAATTTAGTAGCTCAAACCAATTTCCATGGAAGCCCTTTTTCAAGAATTGTGCTGATTCTTTCATTTTTAGGCACCCTTTAATTCCAATGGATCCAAGAAAAGATGTTATACAAAATGGTGTCAATAATCATCCTAGTTTTGTTCAAGATTACCTTTCAAATCATGTTGTTGGAAAGGGAGATTCTTCTTCTCCTAAAGAGGAAGGGGAAAGGGACTATTCTGATGCAATGTACAAATTCTTAAGTCAGATGCTTATGGAAGAAGATGATTTGGAGAATAAGCCATGTATGTTTCATGACTGCATGGCTCTCCAAGCTAAAGAGAAATACTTATCTGATGTACTTCATGGATCCGAAAACAGCTATTCCCCACAATTTGTCATTATCAATCCACACGAATCCTCTAGTTCACTCAGCAACTATTCACCTGATTCTATTGAGTCGCCTCAATAGGATCTTAATTTCGAATCCCCTGTTTCGGTGTCCACTTTATCTAATCATGACTCTTTCTTCACTTCCTTCGGCAATGGCCATTTTGAAGGAGGGGCTGTTAATGTGTTCCAAAGTGGCAGCAGCAGCAATTCACCCACTGGTTTGAGGGAAAAGAAAAATCGTCATCGAGGAGATGCTGCTGTAGACCAGCAGAAGAGTAACAAACAGATGGCTACATTTGTTCATGATGAATCTGAACCATTGGAAATGTATGACAACGTGTTGCTTCGTTTAAACAATCCATAGAGAGAGAGAGAGGAGAAGAAAGGTTGCATAATCACTACGCAAATATTAATCTGTAAGCATGTTGCTGGTTGTGTAAGATAATATACTTTCCAGCTTACTGTTTAATTTAATATCCTTCTCATATAGATTAATTTAAAAAAATGGATTTTTTCTCAACTATTATTACTTAATAAACTAGATACAAAAGTCCAGGCTTATTATTTTCTTTGTTTTAATTTATGCGAATTATACAAACATAGCGAATTATATAAACTCTAAGTCAGCTCATGTAATTAATACTTATTGATAATCATAAGTGATAATTATAACAAACTATAGCTATGAGTAATATAAATTTGCTTAACCACAATATTTCTCCATTTTAAAATACGATTTCAAGTTGCAATCTAGAAAATATAAAATAAATTTTGAAGAATATCTTTAAGGTAAATTCCTTACACTTTACGATCTCTGACTTTATAAATAGGCAATAGCAATGAAAAACTACAAACCGTCCACATTTAAAAAAGAGGTGGTTCTAACGACGATATATTGAACTTTTAAGTTCTATAAAAGGGTCCTTTTCGCTCGAGTGCAAGAAACACTCCCTCACCCCCATAGTGTAGTGGTCTCTCTCCCTCCCTGGCAGTAAGCTTTCTCTCTTCAATTTCAAGATTTTCCTATGATGCCTTGCGTCTTAGATTCTTTAGGGCTTTACGTTTGACTTCTTGATTGGAATTTAACAATGTTATTGATATTGTTTTACTTGGTTTATTGTGTTCAAGAATTTACAGTCTACCAAGATTCTACGATGTCTTTGTGGGTTTTTAACCAAGATTCTACAATGTCTTTGTGATTTTTTTACCAAGGTTCTACAATGTCTTTGTGATTTTTTTACCAAGATTCTACAGTGTCTGTGGGTTTTTAACCAAGATTCTACAATGTCTTTGTGATTTTTTAACCAAGGTTCTACATGTCTTTTCTGTAGTGAAGAATGCATGGTACCTCTAGTTGTCGGATGGATGTTCCGGCCACTACTTTTAGGCTTTTCTCTAGGGTTGTAATTGTTTGGGAAGTCTGCAATGGTGAAGTACTAGATTCACATAAAATAGATTTCTGGGTTCTTCAAGTAAGCTTTCTCTTCTTTATTTTTTTTTTTTGATGGATTTTCGTACTGCTATTTCAAGATTTTCTTATGCCTACTGTATTTTAATTGTGTCTTAAGTTCTTTAGGGCTTTATGTTAGAGAATTTGACATCTTGATGTTTCTTGATTGGAATTCAAGAAGGTAATTGATATCGTTTTGCTTAAGTGGTTTATTATTTTCAGAATTTACAATTTCTATGTGAATTTTTATCAAGATTCTACAACGTCTTTTCTTTAGTGAAGAATGTATGGTACCTATAGTTGTCTGATGGATGTTTTGGTAACAACTTTTAGGCTTTTCTCTAGGGTTGTAACAGTTTGTGGAATCTTTAATGGTGAAGTACTTGGATCAAATAGATTTCTGGTTCTTTGTTGCTTTTGTTTTTCCTTTAAAATCTACCAAGAGTTGAATGCCTGCTGCTATAAGATTGGATGGTACTATTTATTTTTAATAATCAGTGTGTGTGTTGCCTTTGTCTTAAAGTAAGCTTCCTCTCTTCTTCTTCTTTTTTTGATGTATTTCCGTACTGCCATTTCAAGATTATCTTATGATGCCTACTGTATTTAATTGTCTTAGGTTCTTTAGGGTTTTGTGTTCAAGAATTTGACTTCTTGATGTTTCTTGATTGGCATTCAACAATGTAATTGATATTGTTTTGCTTTAGTGGTTTATTATGTTCACGAATTTATAATGTCAATGCGAATTTTCCACTTTGGTGGTTGCGTTCTTCTTTGGCAATGCCTATGCCTAATTCTAGTGCTAATATGCAAGAGGAGTTTCAGGGGTACTATTTCCAGTGCTTTTACAACCAACCAGTTCGAAGGAAGCAAATGCGCTCCAGGTACTTCTTGTTTTCCTCAAACTCAAACAAGTAAAACATTTGATTTACATACTTAACTTCTTAAGCTGTACTCTGTCCTGATTGATCTTTTTGTTTGCATAATCTACTGAGAAAATCACCTTTATGCATCCCAGTGTTTCCTTCAAAATGGTTGTTATCGAAAGGTCCATCTTTGATAAACCAATTGACTTAAGAATTTCTGTCGGGTTTCATAGATTTTTTTTTAATTTGCATGCAGTGAGGATGACCTGCTTTGCCCACATGCTTCTCCTTCTCTGTTGCCACTATTGTTCAGTGGGTTAGGGATTCATCTGCGTTCCCTTAACAAATTGAATGCAAGTGATGGTTCATTCAACCTCTCAGGAAACATCTCAGGTCCTGATGTTTACACAGTGAAGGTATACAGACCCAAATTGATGGATAAGAGATGTGAAAAGAATCTTAAGAATTATTTGATACCATGAGCAATGCTCTTCTCTAGGGTGGATGGGAACTCGCATAAATGGATTGATGCTGGAAATCGAGGTAAAACGGATGAGCTTATAAGGAAGAAGAAGAGTAGTAGAAATCATTCACCTCCTCCATTTTACCAAGTCAAGAATAAGTTCTTTGCCATGGGTGAGTCTACAAGAAAGGCAGCAGGAAATCACAGTATTAAGACTGTTCATGATGTGCCACTCATGCTTGGTAATTTTTCCTTGAGTGCTTGTTTGTGTTATTAATCGTTCACTAATTAATATTCTTTTACGTTGTGCAGAAACTAGAGCAGTAAGTAGACTGCATCATTCTGCAGAAGCTATCTGCTGGGAGCTTCCACAGCAGTCATCCCATCAATGTGATCAATCTTCCACCCCAAGTTGTGGTGATGGGTTTTTCTGTGATGAAATTTAATGTTATCCAATTTCTTGGGAGGTTTGTTAGGTCTCTTTATGATATTATCTCAATTAAATATGTCAGTAACGAAGTAACGAACACAACCTGATGTTTCTCTCTTCAGGCCAAGTGTGAAAAGGGAACTAGTTAACATCTGGAATAGCAAATTGCAAGCTCAAGGGGAGTGCACATGTACACGCGATGGGGAGTTAAAAGAAGGTAAACCGTTCCTGCCACTTGTCCCTGACCTGAATAAGAGCTGAATTTTCCTAGTGCATGTTTCAGTTAATTAGCTTCATTTCTTTCACCCACTTTTCAAGATTATCTTAGGCTGCATTCTTATTAATCATGAAAGTATTAGAGATTACAACGTCTCTTTCTAAGATTCCTATGCCACATAGTCTGTTATAAATTCCATCTTGCTTATGTTCTGATCTTGTAATAATATTGTCCTGACCTTTTCTTTGATTAATTTTTCAGAATTTGCACCAACAAAAACTAAAAATTTCATAGATTCTGGGATACAATGGAGGGACTTCCGGACATTACAGTTGAGTACCTTAGCTATGTCTTAGATGTTTTTGCTTCTTCTCTATTTTGTTAAGATGAGGAACTTTACCTTTTCCTGTTGAGATGCAGAACAGTGCTGGAACAGAAAATCTTAATAATTAGTATACTGTACTCAGTGTCACTCCTGGCGTCTTGCATTTTGTTGGCGATTCATTGGTTCCTGATACCAAACTTCCCGGAGGGTGCCAAAGTTCTCCAACAGGTTGATAAGAAGTTTATTCCGATTGTGGCGAGCACAACACCTGATATAACTGATCAGGTCTATTTTGTCCTTTGCATAATTGGCCATTTTTGGTTTCTCATGAATTTCCTTATAATGCATTTACTTTAGACGATTGTTTCTCTTAGGGATTGTTTGGTTGGACTCAGTAGCAAATATAAATCTCAGCATAAACTTCCGCATAAATAGTATAACATTTGTTGGCCACATAAGAAAAAGTAATATCCAAATAACTATGTGCACTCAGTTATCCGCATAAGAAAAAATAAGCTCGACATAACTAATGCAGCATTTGGTTGAGGGTATTTACTGTTCATTATTAATATCCTCATGACTTATGATTTTATGATTTTACTATGTATTTAATGGAGAGATATGGAGTTGTTTTTGAAGGCTCCACTCGCACAACTCTAATAAAATTTAGTTTAATTATAAGAAGTTGTTGGTTAATGATATTTTGGGAAAAGTTCCTTATTTTGGTCTTTCTCCTCTGTGTCATAGGCAAACTGATGCTTGCAGCCATGCTGGGTTGGAATGCTTTTGAGCTAATCGTGTTTTGGCGTCGCAAAATTCAATTTTATTTGTCACTAAATCACCCTTTTGGTGAAATTACACGGCCTTCTACTTTTCTTGTTCTTATAACTCTCTCTGGTAAAACTCAAAAAACAATTTAACATGTTCTCTCTTGAGCTGAAAAACTGTTGCTTGGCGTGGCACCTCATGTGGGTTTATGATATTTAGGAGAAAGTTCCATTTCATGGTACATCTTCTCTGTCTCATAAGGCTAACTGATGCTTGCAGCCATGACAGATTTCAAAGCTTTTCAGTTGATTCGTGTTTTGTCTTGGAAAAGTTCAGTTTCCTTATCCCCCTCACCGAACCACCCTATTCGTGAAATTACACATGACCTTCCTCTCTTGTTCTTATTACTCTCTCTGCTCGGTTTTATAAATCATGAGGATTTGGAGGTATTGTCTTCCGTGGGAGTTCAATAAAACTTGTTGTCTAAAACTGATTAAACTGTTGCTTGGCACGACACCATGAAATGGAACTTTCTCCAAACTATCATATACCCCTTTTCTTTCCCATCCCTCACCGAACCACCCTTTTTGTGATATTACTCATGCATTCCCTCTTTTTTTATTCTTAGTACTTCCTCAGCTCTGTTTTATACAAAATGAAGAGTTGGAGGTTTTCATCCATCTATGTTCAGTCAAACATGTTTCCTGTCAAGCTAAAGAACTGTTGCTTGCCACGGCACTGGAGATGGGTCTATGAATTTTTGGGAGAAGTTCCATTCTTTTTGTCTTTCTTCTCTGTCTCAAAGGAAAACTGATGCTTGCAGCCATGCTGGGTTTCAAAGCTTTTGAGATAATCATGTTTGAGCGTTGAAAAATTTAACTTTTTTTTTGTCGGTAAATTACCCTTTTGGTGAAATTACAGAGCCTTCTACTTTTCTTGTTCTTATTACTCTCTTTTGTATAACTAAAAAAAAGCAATTTTAACATGTTCTCTCTTGAGCTGAAAAACTGTTGCTTGGCATGGCACCTTGGGTGGGGTATATGAGATTTAGGAGAAAGTTCTATTTCATGGTGCATCTTCTCTGTCTCATAAGGTACTAACTGATGCTTGCAGCTATGACATATTTCAAAGCTTTTGAGTTGATTCGTGTTTTGTCTTGGCAAAGTTCAGTTTCGTCTTGGAATTAAATTTCCATTTCATGGTGTTTCTTCTCCATCTCATCAGGCTAACTAATGCTTGTAGCCACAATGGATTTCAATGCTGTTGAGCTAATCGTGTTTTGGATTAGGCAAAGATAAGTTCTCTTTTTTCACCAAACCACCCTTTTGGTGAAATTACAAATGACCTTCCATTTTTCTTATTTTTATTACTCTCTCCAGTATAACTCAAAATGACAATCAAACATGTTCTCTCTTGAGCTAAAAACTGTTGTTTGACATGGCATCTTATGTTCTTTTTATGTTTGTTATTCTTATAAGTTGTGTACTCCTGGTTTAAACTTTAGCCCAGTTTACACCAGGTATCTGTCTCTATAGGCATTGGGACCCGCTATGTTAAGGTGAATGACAATGGTAAGTGTTAGCATCTTTGACATTGATCTAATGCATTTTGATGTGCAGAAAGTTCTTTGTAAATATATTTTTTGTTGATTACTACTGTATGTAAAGATGTTTGGATTATTTATTCTAGCTGAAGTTGAGCTGGAACATACATGTTGTTGCTTAGGTATTTCTAGCCCAACTTATGGAAACCGTATATGTGCCTGTTTCTTTCATCTTCGGTTATGCTTCCTTTTTGTCTAGCCATTTTAACTATGGTTTCGTATGCTTCCTTTACACCAGCGACATCAAAATACAGCCATTCAGATGATAAGCATGCTTTCCCAGCAAGCTTTGGTTTTAAAAGAGAGGCTTTGAGCTCTTTCTGACGTTTCTTTGTTGGAAATTGTTACTAAAGCTCACGGGAGGCCAAATGGATATCGTAAGGTTTTGAAGGTAAGGTTCTTTTGAGATTTAATTGGTAGTATCCATTAGGATAAGTATAAAACTACTAACTTGGTCTTTGTTGACAGCAAGTGTTTTTTCCTTGGAATTGATGATTGTAGACAAAATGTTGGTACACCAGGTAATTCTGTATAAACCTACCTGATACAAGAGTTGACTGGTGTTTGCTAATAAGGAAATTTGTTCGGATTTTTCTTCTTACAGTCATTGTTCGTGATATATTTACAACCAACCAGTTCGAAGGAAGCAAATGCACTCCAAGTACTTTTAGTTTTCTCACAACAAATGAAAAATATTGATTTACATACTTTACTTCTAAAGCTGTACTCTGACCTGGTTGATATTTTGGTTTGCATATATAATCTGGAAGGCCAAAGAAGGTCATTCATTCTCTGAAAGAGTCTCTGCTAAGAATCGCCCTTGTGCATCCCAGTGTCTCCAAAATTGTTGATATAGAAAGGCCTGGTCTGTCTTTGTTACACTAGCTAACTTAAGGATATTTTATATCTGGTTTCTTAGATTTTGTTCATTGCAAGCAGTGAGGATGACGTGCTTTGCACACATTCTTCTTCTTCTCTGTTGCCGCTACTGTCCAGTGAGTTTGGGATTTATCAAAGGTCTGGTCCGTCTTTGTTACACTAGCTAACTTAAGGATAATTTCTGTCTGATTTCTTAGATTTTGTTCATTGCATGTAGTGAGGTTGACCTGCTTTGCACACGTGCTTCTCCTTCTCCGTTGCCACTATTGTCCGGTGGGTTGGGATTCAGTAAAGGTCTGGTCCGTCTTTGTTAAACTAGCTAACTTAAGGATATTTTCTGTCTGGTTTCTTAGATTTTGTTCATTGCATGTAGTGAGGTTGACCTGTTTTGCACACGTGCTTCTCCTTCTCCATTGCCACTACTGTCCAGTGGGTTTGGGAGTCATCTGAGTTCCCTTAACAAATTGAATGCAAGGGATGGTTCATTCAAGCTCTCAGGATACATTTCATGTCCCGATGTTTACACAATGAAGGTATACAGGCCCAAATTGATGGATAAGAGATGTGATAAGTCATCTTTTCTACTCTCTGTTTCCTAACAACCACTGTTTAATTTGCAGGTCCTTCAATATTTGTGTATCCACTTATTTCAGTATATTTTCCTGACAAAAGAAAAATGGAAAACTAATTATTGGTTAACGTTTTCTATATTGGATGCTTGTTGTTAATGATGTTTTTGTTTTCCTTGACCTCTGTAATGCAGATATCAATTCAAGATTTGTTTCCAAAGGACCAATAAATAAATTACTTAATAATATAGCTATGAGTTTAGACGGTGCTTTTGACATTTTGAAGCGAAGTAGATCTCAGATATATCCACTGTTTCTGTTGAACCTAAACTTTCCTAGATCTTTTATATGATTTGAATTTGGAGCCTTCAAAGACCTGTGGAATTTAAGGTGAGATTTTTTGTTGGGATTTATGATTTAACTTGTTTTGGGGTTGGGAAAAGAATGTGAGGCTTTGGATTTATTTTATAGAATTTTTTTCTTAATTTAAAAGTGGGCATGAGCTCATTTATTAAATTAAAAGGAACCAATAATATTTACAATGACCAGGCCCAACTGAAACCTGGTCCAACAAATAACTAAAGCAAAAACAAAAGTAAAACTAAAAATAGAAACAAACAGGAAATCAAGTCTCAGACAAACAATCTGAGACCTG